GCCAGTTTTGTATCCCTTATGAATTCATCAGATGACTAACATAGGGGAAGCGTGTCACCAATTTTACCAGGTATGTTACCACGTACCAGTCATTTACAATACAGCTGCTGACCAGTTATCTAGTGTTCAGGCGTTCAGGAGGTCCCTAACAACTACCTTACTGATAGCCCCACCAGCTCCACGCATACCTACGGAATAGAAAAGTTGCTAAGTCACAGCAGGAATTCACACAGTTGGCCCTCAAAGAATACGCACAATGCTATGACAGAGCTTACTGCATATATCGAAGTTCATGTCAGATCACCACCTTACAAAATGGTTCAAGAATACACGTTGGGGGCTTTTCGCCACTTTTTGCCACATCAATAAATGTCACACAACACTATTAAGTTATATCTCCCGGGCATTCAACACCACAGATTCTCAGTTACAAACACCATTCTCAAAGCCGCCATGTACTTTGCTTTTATGGTTCCCGCGACCAGAGAATTTACCATCACAGGGCAAAACAATTCCAAGCTTTGCTTACAATATTCTAAACTGTACAAATACAGGGTCACTATGTATTGACTTACCATCAATTAAGACCAGCCAGAGGGGTCACGAGGTACTTATTCAGTACTACCCCACCAACAACGCATACCTCAGCCGACACAGGAATTAAGGAATCCATTTGTGATATGTCATCGTAAGACGCTAACTCCATGTCTTGTGTTTTCGTAATACCATCTTTGATTACACTATATGGGTATTCCTTTTGCCCACTTATTTACAGGCCTACCACACACGTCGGTTTCGGCACACCTCTACCAACTTTTTATTATTATTGTGATAAGTATACTAACTAGCTATTTCATACTATACTGGAATGGCTCCGACTACAAATATATATATATCTCATAGAGCCTTATTATATATATTTTATTGAAAACATCTAGTTTACAAATTCAGTTTACCCACTAAGTAACCTTTTGGCTGCTCAAGTGGCCAGATATCTGTATATTTGTTTACTTAAACTACTTCATTGTTCTTTAACTTTACTGTAAAAAGGAGAGATGCTATCTGTGCCAGGTTTAAAATGTCCAATCTTCACTGTTACTCAGCTGTCTGCTACCACCCTCTCCCCCCCCCCAAAAAAAAATTAAATAAATAAAGCCATCTGCCATGTGCATCACAATAAAAATCTAAATGACAGAATTATTTTTATATATATATTATTATTACTATGATTTTTATAGAGCGCAATCAAATTCCGCAGCGCTTTACAATGGGTGGACGAACAGACATGTAGTTGTAACCAGACAAGTTGGACACACAGGAACAGAGGGATTGAGGGCCCTGCTCAGTGAGTTTACATGTTAGAGGGAGTGGGGTATAGTGACACAGTAACAGACGGATTGAGGCCCCGCTCAGTGAGTTTACATGTTAGAGGGAGTGGGGTATAGTGACAGTAACAGAGGGATTGAGGCCCCGCTCAGTGAGTTTACATGTTAGAGGGAGTGGGGTATAGTGACAGTAACAGAGGGATTGAGGGCCTGCTCAGTGAGTTTACATGTTAGAGGGAGTGGGGTATAGTGACACAGTAACAGAGGGATTGAGGGCCCTGCCCAGTGAGTTTACGTTAGAGGGAGTGGGGTATAGTGACAGTAACAGAGGGATTGAGGGCCCTGCTCAGTGAGTTTACATGTTAGAGGAAGTGGGGTATAGTGACACACAGTAACAGAGGGATTGAGGGCCTGCTCAGTGAATTTACATGTTAGAGGGAGTGGGGTATAGTGACAGTAACAGAGAGATTGAGGGCCTGCTCAGTGAGTTTTCATGCTAGAGGGAGTGGGGTATAGTGACACAGTAACAGAGGGATTGAGGGCCTGCTCAGTGAGTTTACATGTTAGAGGGAGTGCGGTATAGTGACACAGTAACAGAGGGATTGATGGCCCTGCTCAGTGAGTTTACATGTTAGAGGGAGTGGGGGATAGTGACACAGTAACAGAGGGAG